AGGAGGCATCGTGAAGGCGGAACAGAGTCCTCTGCTGATGACAAAGTCTAGAGTACACACAGTGCTGTGAGGTGAGGACGTGAGGGTCTGGGTCCTGCAGGAAATTGAGTAATGTGGTTGCGGACGGTGCCATAGAAGGAGCTGAGAAGGAAATGAGGAGACTGATGTGGTTCCTGAAGTTGCCTGGGACAGAATAAACGGTATTAGATGATATTGATAATGATTTGGAGGTGGTTAAGACGGTGGATACTGAAGCTGGAGCTCCAATACTTTGGCTGCCTGATGTGAACAGTTGACTCATTGGAAAAGACCTGATGCTGGGGAAGATTGAAGGCAGAAGAAAAGAGCAAAAGAGGATGAGATAGTTGGATGGCATCACTGAGTTGATAGACATGAACTTGCGCAAACTCTGAGAGATGGTAAGGGACAGGGAGGCCCGGCTTGCTGCAGTCCATGGGGCTGCAGAGAGTCAGACATGTCTTGGCAACTGAACGTCAGCAATAATAAGACAGTGGCACTAGAGACTCCAGATGAGAGTACATAGAGGAAGCCTGTTGGAACCAGTGGGTTTTGAGATTTCATCATAAGAGTTTAAGGAGCCAGTGTATTAATGAGCAATCAAGGCAGCTGCTGAAGTTTGAAAACAAAGCAAGATTTGCTTCAGTGAAGGCAGTCATGAGCTCTGTTTCTTCAGGGTGTACTGGAGAGATGGGTGGAGATTTCCACTTTTACTTAACACACTGGGTATTATTTGAATGTGCCAGCAGAAGCCTGCACAGCTCTTGTAATGAAAAAGAATGAAAGGGACAAAATTAGTCAAGGCCAAAAATGGAATTCAAGCCCACAGAAAACAAACACTTGTCCACCACCCTTGACTCCACAGCTGAACAGAACAGGCAGTGGAATGGTTTCATTATGCTTCCCAACATTCATCTTCATGAAATCAACTTAAACCATGTGACCCCATTAACACAAAGAACAAAGGGAAGTATTTCAGAAAGATGGAGAGATATATAACCTGGGGTAAATGTTTAACATGCCACACACAGAGATCCAGCCACATGTTATTGGCAGTTGGGTTTTTTATTTTTTTTTTGCCCTTCAGGTTTCCAGGGAGGAGTATACCCCACTACGTCTGTGCCATCATCCCACCTGCCCACTCGACAAGAGGTCCCGGAAGGCATCCATGTCACACACAGAGAAGGTGACAACAAGTAATGATCATAATAGCTACCGTGATTGAATGCCTCCTTTGTGCGTGGTTTAGGCTCAATACTCTATGTAGTTTATCCTAGTTAGTCATTAAAATAACTGTGAGTGGGTGATATTAACTCTATTCTGAAGACTGGGAGGTCCAGGACTGCTGAGGGATTCAGCAGTGTCCTCGGGGCACAAGGCTCCTTCATGCTTCTGCTCTGCCCTCTTTAGTGATAGGTTTTACACACACACACACACACACATCGCCCCCCAGTCTGTGTCTGTGTTCAAGCAGGAAGAAGCCGCAGAAGAGGTAGTACCAGCAAGGTTCCATTTATCTTGTATTGCCCAGAACTAGTGTACCATTCCAGGGATCATGTCGATCACAGACAAGAGAGTCCACTTCAGCTGGTTTAAGCAGCAAGGAGTTCCTTAAGTTATACAGAAAGTCTTAAATCATTGGGGAGGGCTGAAAAGACTTCAGCCCAACTCAGGAAGCCACCATAGAACTGGGCCATCAAGGGAGCTGCTGCCTCTTCCATAAACAGACAGTGGCTGAATTAAGAGGCCACCTCCTCCGACAGGAAGCCAGTGCCAGTCATGAGCTCAAGGCATCCACGACAACCAGGAAGCAAGTCAATCAGAAAACACCCTCCCAGCACTCGCTCCCAGACTAGGCCAGTTCTGCCGAGACCCAGGCCAAGCAAGAGATGCTCAGAACTCTTCTCTTGCTCCCCACTGAATTCAAATCCCAAACAGATGCTCATGGTCCTCTCTCTGTGTGACTCAGTTCTGAATCAAGAAAAAATGATCAATAACACTAAATTCATGCATGGAGTTCCAGCTGCTATGGTAGTTGAGGACTCTGCTAGTTGAGTGTTTTGGTTTTCTAATCTCTGTAGCTGAGGCAAGAAAGAGAGAAAAGTATAGGAACGGAGGCTGAATGTGACAGGCCATTGTATTGTAAGCTGTTACAGAAAAACTCGAATGAACTTTTGGCCAACCCAATATTAGCCACAATTGTTCTGAAAGTTAGGAAAGCTGGTATAGGGCAGTGATCCTTCCCTTATTCCATTCGAGGCATCCTTGCCACATATATCATCTCATTTAATCCTATCTCAAGCTTTCACTTTATAGGCAAGGAAGCAGAGGCTCAAAAAGTTTAAATAATAATGTTCAATATCTTTCATAACCTATAATGGAATATAACCTGCAAACAATAACTGAATCACTATGTTATACACCTGAAACTAATGCAATGTTGCAAATCAACAAACTGCAACAAATAAAAACATTTAAGGTAATAATATTCCAGAAGGTAGCAGAATCCAGATTTTTGAACTAAAGTTCACGTTCCACTATCCTCATGTGGTAGAATTTACATGCTTGCTTTGTTGAAACTAAACGTTATTCTTAATTCCTTTGTTCTGATTATGAATCCCTGGCTTTCAAAAAGCTATAAAGACCAGGTGCTCTCTGGTCCCCAAACCTTGCTCCAACAATTTTCTTCCTTGGTTTTGTTATTTTTTTTAACAGGTGAGAAGTGGATTTATTTAGAGAGAAACACACGCCACAGAGTGCGGGCCATCTCAGGAGAGAGTAGCCTCAAAATATGGCATGGTTAGTTAATTTCATTGACTAATGAGTGGAAGGATTATTCCAACTATTTCAGAGAAGGGGCGGGGATTTCCAGGAACTGGGCCACAGCCCACTTTTTGGTCTTCTGATACTTGGCCCCAGAATTGTCATGGCATCCAGCGGTTTTCTTAATTCCTTGAGTAGCTTGATCCTGTGGACCACCTAAGAAGCTCAGTGGCTTGTGTATCAGGACCGTGTGAGGTGAGAAAGCAGGAAACAGTATCCATCAGGATCCTAAGAGTCATCCCATGAGACACTGTCCTTTCCAGAACATTGTTCTACTCATATCCAGCCACCCTTTCAGCCCCACATCAAGCACTTCTCCACAGACACTTCTCCAGTCTTCCCGCCAAAGCGTAGTCCTATTTTTTTCCAACTCTCCCACATATTTTCTTTGTGCCGCCCCTCAAACATTTCCCACAATCAACATATATCACCACCCTGTTCGTATTGCAACTTCTTCGAAGACAAGAATGGTGATGTTCGTTTCTATTGCTCTTTTAAGCTTCTGGCACAGTGCAGGGGTGTAGAAAGGACTCACTGGATGATGATGGAGAAATGAATAAACTTCCTCAGGGAGCTGCTGTCTTCTGTAGCATATTGGCTCATCTGTATCCAGGGAATGATAAATTCAATTGCTCTTCTAATGTTTTTAAGTAGCAAAACTTTTCTCCATCACCACCATCCATCTGGTTTCTCCCATAATGAGCCCTCATCAGTTAATGTAACAGAATATTTTGCATGTTTATTTGTTTTTAACATTTTTCAAATGAAATTAAGAGACAGCTTGCCCCTTGGAATAAAAATTATGACCAATTTAGACAGCTTATTAAAAAACAGAGACATTACTTTGCCAACAAAGGTCTGTCTAGTAAAAGCTATGGTTTTTCCAGTAGTCATGTATGGATGTGAGAGTTGGACTATAAAGAAAGCTGAGCGCTGAAAAATTGATGCTTTTGAACTGTGATATTGGACTCTTGAGAGTCCCTTGGACTGCAAGGAGATCCAACCAGTCCATCCTAAAGGAAATCAGTCCTGAATATTCTTTGGAAGGACTGATGCTGAAGCTGAAGCTCCAATACTTTGGCCTCCTGATGTGAAGAACTGACTGGAAAAGACCCTGATGCTGAAAAAGATTGAAGGTGGGAGGAGAAGGGGATAACAGAGGATGAGATGGCTGGATGGCATCACTGACTGAATGGATATGAGTTTGAGTAAGCTCCAGGAATTGGTGATGGACAGGGAGGCTGGCATGCTGCAGTCCATGGGGTTGCAAAGAGTCAAACATGACTGAGTGACGGAACTGAATAGAGAGCAGGACTATATCTTTGTTTTTTTTTGTTGTTGTTGAATTATGGTTGATTGACAATGTTGTGTTGGTTTCTGGTGTATAGCAAAGTGATATACACAGATACATATATATATATATTCTTTCACATACTCTTTTCCATTATAGGTTATTATAAGATATAGAGTACAGCTCCGTGTTACACAGTAGGACCTTGTTGTTCATCTGTTTTACATACAATAGTTTATACCTGCTAATTACAAACTTCTAATTTATTCCTTCCCCTCCCCTTCCCCTTGTAGTAACCATAAATTTGCATGATGCTATTTTGGGGAGGGGGCATGCAGCACGGGGTGTGGAATCTTACTTCCCCCACCAGGGATTGAACCCACACCCCTGTGCATGGGAAGCTCAGAGTCTTAACCACTGGACCACCGGGGAAGTCCCTGGTAACCATAAGTTTGTTTTCTATGTGTGTGAGTCTGTTTCTGTTTTGTAAATAAGTTCATTTGTATCGTATTTTAGCGCTAGCTTTGGCAGCACATATACTCAAATTGCATCATATTTTAGATTCCACAGATAAGTGATATCATATGATCTTTGTCTTTCTCTGTCTGACTTACTTCACATAGTGTAATAATCTCTCAGCAGGACTATGTCTTTGGAGCGAAAATGAGTTCTTTTTCTCTTTGGAACAACTACACTGGGACAATTTTTATACTAGTTTGGGTATTTGCCATAAGTAAGAATTCACTGGGCCAAAAAGAGTGGAACAAAGCATGATCATGATAGTAAAAGCATCAAGGAGTCTTCCACGCTCTACGTCTAATCCATTCAATTTCCTGCTAAAGTAGAATTCCTCGCATCACTGTCAGCCCTTCAGGTCAGCACAGAGCAGCAGTCTCCTTCATCTCTTCTGGAAACTTTCCACTTTGGAACTCCCAAAGAGTGGCCAGCAGTGACCAAGACGGGTTCTCTTCTGCTGTGTGGTTCATGAAACTGGAAGGCTGGCCGCGTGCTTCTGGTTGCCATGGAAATGACCAGGGCCACTGGCCTTCTGAAAACGGAAAAGAACAGCAAGTGCAAGAAGAGGCATTCCGTGCTTCCTGCCCGGCAGATTAAACCAGCTGTCAAGCCTGAGTGAAGGATCAGTCCGGGCGTGGAGGCGACAACCTGGCAGTGGAACTCTGAGATGTAAGTCCTTTCTCTGCTCTTTTTTGAAAAGTCTATCTAGCTTAACAGTTTTTAACAGCTTCAGATTTCTGCTGCATGGCAGGCAAGTTCTGTAACATTTGAAGAGCCACCATCAGCACCACCTTTTTATGCAGTGTTTGCGTTTCCTGAATATAACGCACACTTACGAGTCACTTTCACCGTGAAACTCCTTTAAGCTTCCGGGCATGTGAATTGCTTTTTACTGAGATTCTCTTTCGTTTCAAAGGAAATGTTTTCAGAACATCAAGCAAAGAATGAAATGGTCTTCTCATTATTCCCTAAATAGATAGACTCACTTAGGTTAATATTATGTAACAGATATCTCCGTGGAATCTGGGCTTCTTGTTTCTATTTTTAAGATCTGGCGAAAATTAAAAAAAAAAATGAACAACAAAAAAATCCAGCTATATTTCCTGTTGGTCTTTAATGCTAAATAAGAACTAAGTGAAAGAGGTATGTGTTATATCGCCTTTCCTTATCGTGATCACAAGCAGAACTGGGAACTCTCAAAACATTGGTTTTTATTTTCTTTGCTCTGTTTTTATCTAATAATGTTATATTTATCTAATGGTGTTATATTTACTGTTTGTTTACACACTATTCATTAGAAAACATAGGAAGACAAGAAGAAATCAAATTTAGATGAGCCTCAACATTTAGATCGGTTAACTTTTTAAAAAATTGGTCCCTGTATTCAAAAGTGAAACAAACATGATAAATACTATAGCAAAAGGCAACAGGCTTACAGGGATGTCTTAGTCAAAACCAGTAATCCTTACACAGTTCTACATGTATTTTGTTGTTTCATAAATATGTTTGGGGGGAGTTTCTTAGCAAAACGTGTGTTGGTGCATATTGAGAAAAGGAAAGGTTTCAAAAGAACTGGGCATAATATTCATAAAAACCTGTCCTTAAAAACTACCAAAAATATTAGACTTCTTTTGCTTGAATTTTTTTTAATGAAAAGAGTGATCTATGGGAAGTTTTTTAACTTTTATTTTTATACCAAATAATACAATGTAATGCTATTTAAAATAATGTTTGAAAGGGAAAAAAGACTTCACATCATATTTTTGACAGAAATTGGGCATTTTCTGAAAAGAACAGGTCTGATGAAGCATCTGTGGAAATGAATACTTCTCAACAGCTGGTTTGGATCTCTCAGATCTTCTTTTTCACATCAGTATTTTAATTTCTTAAACTTAGTATACTATCTACCTTTAAAATTCAGGGTCCGTGGAATTTCCTGGTGGTTCAGTGGTTAATTAAGACTTGGCCCTCTCACTGCCAGGGGCCTGGGTTCAACCCCTGGTTGGGGAACTAAGATCCCACAAGCCATGTGGTGTGGACAGAAGAAACAAGTCAGGCTGCAGTGGATCGTGCCTCTGTGTCCGTGCTCGGAAGAGACCATCCCCCAGTTTCCCATGGCTCTGTGATCAGGGCCCAGAGGCGCTGAGCTGAAGCACAGCGATCAGATGAGCTGAGTGCACACCAAGTCATTTGGGCCACCCAGGTGGCACCGTTGGTAAAGAACCCACCTGTCAACGCAGGAGATGTAAGAGACCGGGGTTCGATCCCGGGTCAGGGAAGACCTCCTGGAGGAGGACATGGCCACCCACTCCAGTATCCTTGCCTAGAGAATCCCATGGACAGAGGACCCCGGCGGGCCATGGTCCATAGCATCACAGAGAGTCAGACACGACAGAAGCGACTTACCACACATACAGGCATACCAAGCCATTTACAGGAAAGGCTTGAGGGGTTTGCAACCATTGGTTAATTAACTCTCACAAGAACCTGTGTCAATTAGAAAACTGCATATTTTAGTTAAGACTGCCTATTGGCTCACTCTCTAGAAGTCTTTGTCCCATGTTCCCTGACCATGTCAGAAGAAGTAGCATTCAACCAACGTTGTCCTTTTACTTAAAGATCTAATTTACAAGTGTCTTCTTAAAAAAAAAAAAAGTGTTCTGATGCTTGTGCATAATGGAACTCTCTTCTTTCTTTTTGTTTCCCATTCATTTAGCTCGAGGTTTCTATACACACTTGAGGTTAAAGGCCACAGAATCTAGGAATGGAATCCGAGGTACGGGATATCATGTGAGTAGGAACTCGACCCTGGGATGGAAAATAGGACTGTCATTTCCATCATGACTCCCTAGAGTATATGTGGCTCTCTGGGTTCAAATCTTAGCTGTTTCCTTCTGGCTGTGTGACTTTGACCATGCTATGTAACCTCTCTGTGTTTCTGATAATGAAAATAGGGTCATAATACCTACTTTTTAGATTATTGCAAGGATAAAATGATATGAGACATGCAATAATACTTCAAACAGTACCTGGCACCAAAAGAAGCACTTATTATTAATATTAATATTAATATTAAGAAAACATGTAGTTCCTGATTTCAGTCATTTCTCAACAACATGTAACTCCCACATTTCTTATTTGAAAGTACATTGCCTCTTATCAATGACCGTTTTCTGTATTTAGCTAGTTTAACCCTGGGAACACAGGGCTGAGGGGCAGTAAATGTTTGTGTGTGCATGTCAGTCACTCAGTCATGTCCAACTCTGCAACCGATGGACTGTAGCCCACAAGGCTCCTCTGTCCATGGGATTCTCCAAGCAAGATACTGGGGTGGGCTGCCATTTCCTTCTCCAGGGGATCTTCCCCATCCAGGAATCAAACCTGTGTCTCCTGCGTCCCTTGCACTGGCAGGCAGATTCTTTACCACTGCACCACCCAGGAAGCCCAAAGTTTTGTGTAGTAAAATGTTAGTAATAACATCTCTTCTTCATCTAGCAGTCTGGACTTCCTTAGGAGTCAAGTAGCATACATTTGAAGAGTTAAATTTGAGGTGTCTGTTAGATATCCAGGTAGAGCTATCAAGTAAGATGTTGGATACATAAGCGTGAAGCTCAAGGGAGGATTTGGGAGCTGAATAATGATCAGTATATAGATAATACTGAAATCAGGGGTCAGGGGTCAGCATGCAATCTCCAAGGGAGTGGATATACATAGAGAAGAGAGCCAGGTACTGAGCGAGGGGTATGCAACAATATCATGGAAGGAGAGAAGATGCTAGCCAGATACAAGGAGCGACTGTCAAGGTGGCAAGAAAAACAGGGGCATGCAACGGAAAGGAAGAACAGAAGGGTCTTTGCCCAGGAAGGAGGGAGTGGGCGACCATATCAAATGCTAGTGAGCAGTCAGGCAAAACAAGACGAGGAAATTAACCATTGGCTTTGACACATTGGGGAATGGGAGTCATTAGGAACCTGATGACAATCATTCCAGTGGGGTCACCCCAAGGACGGCCTGATTAGAGCGACTTAAAAGACTGACAAACAAGCACTGAGCCTTCTGTGTGACTATGGATTTGCTTATACAAGCTTGGTTTCTCCTCTATGATTTACTGAGGTAGACCTGTAGGAGGTTGGAGGCAGGCAAGGACTGTCATCTGTGAATCTAGTCCACCAAAGATTCGTGAAAGATGTGAAGACAGTTCAAGAGATGAGGGTGGTTTCGTGTGTGTGTCTGTGTCTGTGTGTGTGTCTGTGTGTGTGTCTGTGCGTGCACTTAGTTGTGTCCAACTCTTTGCCACCCCGTGGACTGTAGCCTGTTAGGCTCCTCTGTCCATGGTATTTCCCAGACAAAAATACTGGAGTGGGCAGCCACTTCCTTCTCCAGGGGCTCTTTCCAACCCAGGTAAGACAGAACCCATATCTCCTGCATCTCCTCCATCAGCAGGCAGATACTTTATCACTGAGCCACCATCAGCAGATAAGAAATAGAAAGCACTTCTGACACGGGGCAACATAAGCAGTATGAGGTAGCATCACACACACACACACACACACACACACACACACACACACCTACGCACACACGTCAGGACTTGTTCTAACGGTTTTCCCCAATGCCTCTTCTTTCCTTGTGTGACCTGTTTCCCATTAAAGGACCACTTCTCATTTGCGTCTCTGAAACGCCTGGTCTCCCAGGTCAGTAAGGAAGCCAGGATCTTCTCCAAGGCCAGGAGCTCTATAGGAGCCCTTTGGAGTGATGCCAAGTCACCATTTCATGGATGTTTTGTTTGACCCAAATTGTGTTGCCCAGTCTATCCACTGGAGCCCTGTTCTTGTCACAAAAATAATCTTCTGTGAGTCATCAATGAGATCAGTATGCATTCTTTTCATATAAAAGTCTCATTTTAGAATTGTTTTAGACTTACAGGGAAGTCGTAACGCTAGCACAGAGTTCCCATGTACCCAACGACCAGTCTCCCCTTTTATTAGCATCTTACACTGCTGTGGTATACATTTGTCACCATTAATGAACCAATATTAACAAATTATTGTTAACTGACATCCATATTTTATTCAAATTTTTAAAAATATCCAATGTCCTTTTTCTGTTCCAGGATCTCACATTACTTTTAGTTGTAGACATATAAAAACTCTTTAAAATCTTCCAAGAAAGCAACAAATTTCAAATTGCCTTTGGTTCCAATATTTGTAACTAAAACCACTGAAGGAAAATTTTACCCTCAACTTTTCTGAAATCTAGTCATTGAATGCAGATGAAAGGAAAAAGCTTAAGGCTTTTAAGGAGATAGTTTAAAATATTTTATGGGGCTATGATAATGTACAACTGTTAACTGAAAGCCCTGAATCCCTTTTTATTGTTCTGGAAGCAGGTAATTAAAATACTAAAGGTCTACCAGCATTTTTTGTTTCTCATCTCCTAGCAAAGGGATTACTCTGACTTATTTTCCTGGCAACCTCCTGCTCATATAATACAGGCCCGGTAATTTGAGCAAAGCTTTTCCCATGTTAGTTTTACAAGACTGGATGCTTAAATGTTAGATTGTGGGGAAGTTTGCAGCAGGGTTCTTATAATCCTTCAACCAAAAGCAATTAAGACAATAGTTTCTGATGCCCACAAATATCTATGAGATCAATATATACTCAGCACTGACTCTACTCATATTTCCCTTTGGTCTGTGGAGTGAGGTGGAAGGGTAACGATCTGGGGCCCTAGTTTGGGGCTCATGGTCCCCATCTGAGGTGACTGTGTTTTGTCCTGTGTCTCCATCTGCAAACCTAGAGGATGCTTACTGGTAAAGTCGCAAGAGGTTGGGGTTGCCTGTTGGGGACTTATTCCAGATGTCATTCGATGGCCTTCAAGGAGACTCAGAGGCAAGACATAGGATATTGAGCTCAAATACACCCACTCTTTCACTAATGGTGAACACAAAAGTTCATCATGCTTCCTCTGTCATGGCTGGACCATACACTGAAATTCACTCTGAAATGGATTTTGCTCGCTGATTTGATCATATGCTCCACTCCACAATTCTAGGAGGCAAAGGTAAAAGAGGAAGCGAAGGATGAATACATCACTCTGACTTAGCTAATGTAGGGATGTACTTGAATAATACAAGTGTTTATGGAGGGCCTCCAAGTGTCAGGCACTAGGGATTGGGAAACCAAGGTCAACCAGAAGACCAGGGCTTTGTCACATCAGAAATCTGACTTACACAACATACCAATAGCGATGGGTCCAGCATCCAATAGGCAAACTGTGGGTGAAATCAACATTCAGTTAAGCTCAGTGCTTTCAAAACATAAAATGCCTATTTTCAGTTAGCTCTTAATTATCTCAGACTAGACGCTTTTGCTGGAGAATCCCAGGGATGGAGGAGCCTGGTGGGCTGCCGTCTGTGGGGTTGCACAGAGTCGGACACAACTGAAGCAACTTAGCAGCAGCAGCAGCAGAAGCAGCAGCAAAAGCTTTTGAGAACATTAGTTCATTTCTATCATTAAACACATTTATTTGAAAGCAGCAATCCAAGTGATACTTGAAGAGATCGTGGCTTCACCAACCAGTGGGCACAAATAAGGCTAAATTAACACTAATTGCTTATATTTGATTGGCTTGTGTTCCCACCTTCCTGATACAGGTCCTTACCTCCTTCCCACCACCATGTCTACACAATAAAGTCTCCTCTAATCACTTTTGGGGTCCCCAGGATTGCCTTGCCTGTGTTCCCAAATGGTCCTTTCATGTGCTTCTGTCACCGCTGGCTGTTAACTGTCCCACGCTGCTGCCAAGGGGCTCTCTGCTGACTCACTTCCCAGACAGCAGAGTCCAGGGGCATCCCAGTGAGTCTTCCAGGAGGGGCCACATGATGCTGCCTGCCCCTCACCCCTCACTGTGCCAGACCTGGGCTACCCTCAGTGCAGAAGTGGGGAGAACGCCTCTGTCCCCCACCTCTATGCCCCACATCTCAGAGCTCTTGAGAGCTGTCCAGGCAACATCTGCCTACAGCTCCACTGGACTCAGCCCACGGCTTTCACTCGTCTGGGTTAGGAAGACTGAGCGTGAAAGAACTGATGCTTTCAAACTGGGGTGCTGGAGAAGACTCTTGAGAGTCCCTTGGACTGGAAGGAATCAAACCAGTCAATCCTAAAGGAAATCAACCTTGAATATACGTTGGAAGGACTGATGCTGAAGCTGAAGCTCCAATACTTTGGCCACCCAATGGGAAGAGCCGACTCATTGGAAAAGATCTTGATGATGGGAAATATTAAAGGCAAAAGGAGAAGAGGGCAGTAGAAGATGAGATGGTTAGATAGTATCACTGACTCAATGGACATATATGTGAGCAAACTCAGGGAGACAGTGAAGGACAGAGGAGCCTGGCATGCTGCAGTCCACGGGGTCTCAAAGAGTCAGAAACAGCTTAGCGACTGAACAACAGTACGACAAAAAAGGAGAGATGCGTGCTGACCCTTCCCTCCACCGACCCCTCCTCCAGACCCCCACACATCATCATTATTCTGAGCCTGTTCTCCATTCAGATTTTCAATGCAAGCAGTGTGTTCAATGAACCACACCTTAGAGGTTTGCGGAGGTGGCGTTTGGAATGCTCTAATATCCCAAATATATACATTCCTATTATTACTAGTAATATAATTCTGACATTGCAAAAGTCATGGTTTATAATTAGTACTAACGTGCTCTGTGTGTTAATACTGTAGTTCTCATGAGTAGCTGTAACAGTGAATAGCACTAATAGATGTATATTAATATTG